GAGGAGGGAAGGAGTATCCCAGGCATCCAGAGTTCATGGTTCTTGCAGCCAAGAAGTGACTAGGAGAAAGCTTCAGAAGGAAGGAGGTGGTGAAGGGTTGAGTCAGGTGGTGAGAGAGGGCACAGAGGCCAGACAGAGAACTGGGTGCCACCCAGGACTGAGATTTGGAATAGAATCTGCAAGAGAAAAAGAGGTCAGGGTTTGAGAGTCGGGGTGCCCAGGACGAGGCAACAAACCAGAGGGCCAACAGGGTGGACAGGGCGGGCCTGGCCTTACCTTGCTCTGCAGTAGGGTGGCCCAAGGCACTGTCGGTGGCCTGTTGGTCTGCCTATTCATAAGGCAGAGGACAGGCAGGCAGCAGCAGGCTGGGGCTGCTGGGCCCCAGGGCACAATAGGGTTGCTGCAGCTTCTCACTGGGGAACCTCCCCCCTCTGAGCCAGAGATCATGGCCTCTCTTATTGGTCCAGGCCGTGCCTGTGTGTGTGTGTGTGTGTGTTTAATCCTCATCAGAGGATATTTTCTTCAGTGATTTTTTTTTTAAATATATTTTATTGATTTTTTACAGAGAGGAAGGGAGAGGGATAGAGAGTTAGAAACATCGATGAGAGAGAAACATCGATCAGCTGCCTCCTGCACATCTCCTACTGGGGATGTGCCCGCAACCCAGGTACATGCCTGTGACCGGAATCGAACCTGGGACCCTTCAGTCCGCAGGCCGACGCTCTATCCACTGAGCCAAACCGGTTTCAGCTGATTTTTTTTTTTTTTTAAGAGAGAGCAGAAGGGAGCAAGGGGGAGAGAGAAATAGTGATTGGTTGCCTTTGACATGCACCCCAAATGTGGGACTAGGGATTGAACCTGCAACCCAGGTACGTGCTCTTGACCGGGAATGGAAGGGGAGACCCTTAGGGGTGCAGGCCGACGCTGTAACCACGGAGAACGATGGCCAGGGCAGGCCGTGCCTGTTCTCGAGGTAGCCTTTATGCCCACAGCTTTTCGCTCTTCTGCTCTCTATGCGCCTATTTTTCCCCACCAGAGACCCAGAGCCCCTGGGCTGGAGTAGCCAGGCCAGCATGCACTGCGTGTAGGGGACAAGGTGAGTCTTTCTCCCCCTCCACCCATGTTGCTGCTGCCTCCTTGGCTCCTGCGTGGGCTGAGCTCCACACCACACCACCAGCCTTCCTCACTGCCTCCTTCAACCCCTTATTCATCCTCAGTCACCTACCTGCCCCTCAGCCTCCCACAGGGGACCTACCTGCTCATCTGCAATGGACGAGTCTCCAGCAATTCTTAAGGGAAGGACATACCAGCTGTGGCCCCAAAACTGCATGTTCCTGTCTGCAGTCCAGCTCCTGTGTTGCCCACTGTCCTTAGCACACAATCTGACCCACCCCCAGACTTTGCCCACATTCAGCCATCCAGTGAGCAGTCCTGACGCTGCCCTTCTCGCCAGCACCACCAAAGATCTGAGCCTCTTCGTCTGCCCGCAGGACTTTCCATCCCTAAAGGGCAAACCTTGGATGAAGTTTGCTACCCTGACCCACTGTGAGACCATCCCCACAGCCTCAGTTCCTTGTATCCCTACAGCTGGTTTGCACATTAAGGACCACATATTGATTCCATTTATATGAAATGTCCCAAAATAGAGACAAAGTGGTTTAGTGGTTTCCTAGACCTGGGGGGACTGGGAAGACATGGGAAGTGACTACTAGAGTGTATGGGGTTTTTTGGGGGTTGTCGAAAATGCTACAAAATTGTGGTGATGGCTGCATGATTCTGTGACTCTACTAAAACCATTGTATTGTACATTTTATTTATTTTTTTTAATATATTTTATTGATTTTTTACAGAGAGGAAGGGAGAGAGATAGTTAGAAACATCGATGAGAGAGAAACATCGATCAGCCGCCTCCTGCACACCCCCCACTGGGGATGTGCCCGCAACCCAGGTACATGCCCTTGACCGGAATCGAACCCGGGACCCTTCAGTCCGCAGGCCGACGCTCTATCCACTGAGCCAAACCGGTTTCGGCTACATTTTATTTTTTTAATATATTTTTTATTGATTTCAGAGAGGAAGGGAAAGAGAGAGAGATACAGAGATTAGATAGGTAGATAGATAGATAGATAGATAGATAGATAGATAGATAGATAGATAGATAGATATTAATGATGAGAATCATTGATTGGCTGCCTCCTGCATGTCCTACACGGATTGGAGCCCACAATCCGGGCATGTACCCTGACCAGGATTCAAACCGTGACCTTCTGGTTCACAGTTGATGCTCAACTGCTGAGCCACACTGGCCAGGCAAATTGTACATTTTAAATAGGTAAAGAGGCCGAAACCGGTTTGGCTCAGTGGATAGAGCGTTGGCCTGCGGACTGAACGGTCCCAGGTTCGATTCCGGTCAAGGGCATGTACCTGGGTTGTGGGCACATCCCCAGTAGGGTATGTGCAGGAGGCAGCTGATCGATGTTTCTCTCTCATCGATGTTTCTAACTCTCTATCTCTCTCCCTTCCTCTCTGTAAAAAATCAATAAAATATATTTTAAAAAAATAGGTAAAGTGTACGGAATATATGAATTCTATCTCAATAAATCTGTTACCAATGGGGAAGAAAAACACAGAACAAAAGAAAAGCCCACCTAAACAAATCCACAGCTGAAGTTCAGAGCTGTCCATTGTCTCCTCTGCACCCTTGAAGGGAAAAGTCGCAGTTTGAAGGCTTAGGGCCAGTCCAGCCTGAAGTGGACATACGTTTTCTTGACCACCTTCATCTGAACCCCCTTCTCATGCTTGGAAACTCCCCATCATAAATCTAGATAGAAGATAGCATCCACCTCCCACCATATAAAAGACCAGATACTTGCTTTCCCAGCATCCCCGTGCAGCCATGTGACTGAGGCGTGGCTAATCCGATGCCTCTGCTGGGAATTGCTCAATCAAGAGCAAAGCAGGAGGGAAAGTGGGGAGTACCCTAGGTGGCAGCAATGACATCTTCACATCAGCACTCTGGTCCCAAGGTAGAACTTGGAGTGCTTTTAACTGCTCAGACCCCCCCTCTGCACCCCACACACACTTTTTTGAGCTCTTCTCCAATCTTCTGTGTTTCAATGAGCCTAATAGTTAAATGGCCTTTTTCTGCTTTTATCAGCAAGAAGCTGTTCTGTGGCTTTAAAGTAGTATTGATACGTGTCATCCGGACTGCAGCACTAGATCCCTCACTCCCTCAGGGCAAGGCAAGCTATCCTGACAGCTACAGCCCTCCGCTTCCACCCAGTGGGAGTGGAGCATCAGAAGCTTCATCTTATATTTCTGTCATCAGAACAGCTTTCACCCCATCCCAGAAGCATCCCGCAATAGACGTCCTAGTTTCTAATTCTGTCTCTCTCCCTTTTCTTTATAGCGGTTTTTTTTGTTAGTCTTTCTAATGTCTTACTAATTTCTTATGATTTAATATTTTTTTTCAATCCTGCTTGGAATTTCCTGATTGTTAGCGTTTATAAACTTCAATTCTCGAAAATTCTCAGACTCTTTATTCACTCCTGGAACTCTGGTTACGTCATACCTTCTCACTCCATCTCCAGTGGTTTTCCAGCCTCTTTGCCGTAGTTTCCATTTCTTTGTATCCCTGGGCTCCAGCTGTGTAACTTTCTCAGCTCTACTTCAGGTTCATTCTCCTTTTAGGTGTCTAACTTGCTGCTTAACCATTAAGTTTCTCAATTCATATAGCGTATTTTTCTGTAGGGAGTGGCTATAGGTGTTGGATTGACCTGTGGCAGGGCCACACACAAGTTTCAGCTTGGAGGGCAGAGCTCTCCTAACATAATTAAGCTTGACCTTATAGTCCTCCCTAGCTCCTTCCTAGGTAGCTAACGGGCTATGGGAGGTGCAGCAAGTGCTACCAAAACAAGGTGAAACTCACAAGAACATTGTAAACATGTTGACCACTTCCCTTGTTTTGCTTTGTGGACTCTGACTATAAAATAAAGCTTCAGCTTGCAGGCCGTGGAGCTGTCTCTCCATCAGAGAAGCAGCATCCCATGCCCCAGCTGTATTCTTTTTTTTTTTTTTAATATATTTTATTGATTTTTTGCAGAGAGGAAGGGAGAGGGATAGAGTTAGAAATATCAATCAGCTGCCTCCTGCACACTCCCTACTGGGGATGTGCCTGCAACCAAGGTACATGCCCTTGATCGGAATCGAACCTGGGACCCTTCAGTCTGCAGGCTGACACTCTTATCCACTGAGCCAAACCGGTTAGGGCCCAGCTGTATTCTCTTGTCTGTCTTCAATCCTTCACCGCCCCTCCTCAGGCTCACTGAACCTGCCCATGCTGAATGCAGCACATTTTTCATTTTGAAGTTTTACTTTAATCAAACCAATCTGGTCCTTTCTTATAGTCTTTTCATTAGTCATACTTTTTCTTTAAACATTTAAAGACATTTTATATTTTGTACTTTCAACTTCTGTCTTTGCTGTTCAGATTCTGTTACCTGTTGTTCCTAATGTTCCCTCTTGCTGGTGGTGGTTTCTTTCCTTGTGTGCTGGTGTTTCATTGTGAACACACAGCCCTTGAGATTTTATGTGAAGGAATTCCTGCAGGCCTGGGTTTCCAGTACAGTCCTAAGAGAGAACTGCATTTGCTCCTGCTGGGTGCCTGGAGGCACTACCAACCCCAGACCACTCTGAATGACCAGGTTGAAGATTTTTCCAGCCCAAATGTGTAATATGAATTCTAGACCCAAACAGTATTGGGAGCCAGCTGTGCTGACATTACTGGGAATGCAATTTTTGTCCCCATCTCCTACCTCCCCTTGCATCCAAAACAAAAGCAAAGTAGGTGAGTTGTGGGATTGGTTCACTCTCGGATCTGCTTTTGGGGCTTGATCTGACTTCTCACTTTGTAGGAGCCTTAGATTTTGGCCCCTTAGACAGTACTTCCTAAGACAGTAATTTAACCCCCCCCCCCCCCACACACATACACACAAAGCAGATGAGCGACAAGAATGTTTATTAACTGGCTCCTACATAAAGTCCCAGTCCTGGAAGCCGTCAACAGACTCCATGGCCTTCACTAACCTAAGGTCACTGACCCTTTTTTTCCTCTGTCAGAATTATTGATTTCACAGGGGCTGGGAATGTTCAGCCTGCGGGCCATAGAAGGCCCATGGCATCACTTGGTCGGGCCCTGCCACGGCATCAGGGGTGAGTTAATTAAATGTTTGATCAAATACGGCCGCTAATTTTTAAACTGATGATACTGGATGGCCCATGAATGATGTTATAAATATACAAATGGCCCTTGGCAGAAAAAAGGTTCCTATCCCTGGTTTAAGGCAAGGATGGGAGGACACGAGTACATGATGAACCAGATTCAAGCAGAGGAGTGTGGCATGGCGAAGGCTGAGCTGTTCCTGTCCATCCCTGGGCAGCCCAAGAACCCTTTAGTCATTGCTGAGCCAATCTAGTTCAAGGGCAGCTGTGATCCTTGTCCTTGAAGGGGAAAGACCCAGAATAGGCCAAGCCCCAGTCTGTCCCCACAGACCCAGTTCTCACTGAGGCAGTGGCAGAGCTGAGGTCAGTTCCTATTAGTCCTTATTCAAAGGGAGATGTCGCCTGTCTTTGCCTGCGTTTCGGCGCCTTTTTCGACTCAAGAAGCTGTCTAGCTTCTTGCTGCGTTTCAGCTCCTTGAACTTCTCAGCTAGGACCAGCTGGCGCTGTTCAGCTAGAGGGTCGGGAGAAAGCAAGCTGGTAAGCAAAAGCAGAGCACCACCCTTTCCCTGTTCCCCAGTCAGTCATTCTCAACCCCTCTGCTGGGAAACATGACTTAAGAGTTCATGGTGTGTGCAAGCAAGCTGTCTTTTTCTATGATTCCTTCTTTCACAACGCAACGACTGTGAGCTTCTACGTGCCCAGTGCAGCAGATCGGGGGAGTACAACAGAGAAAAAAGCGACACCCTGCCCTGGCCACGTAGCTCAGTTGGTTACATGGTCATTCAGATATGCCAACGCTGTGGGTTTGATCCCTGGTAAGGGCACATACAAGAAACAAGCAATGAATGCATAAATAAATGGAACAACAAATTGATGTTTCTTTCTCCTCCCACTCCTCTCTCTCTGAAAAATCAAAAAACAAACAAACAAAAAACCGTATGGTGTCATATCATTAAAAATAAAATAAATAAAAGCAACACCCCCTGTCGATAATCTGATTAGGGAAATAAGAATGGGCACCTCCTCCCCACAGTATTTCTACTCTCCTCCTAATTTACCATGGGATCCAGCACTCATGCCTCCTTTAGGGCCTGCGACCCCCCAGCCCTGTACCCAACCTGTAACAGCTGTGCCCACTCACATTTCTTCAGGAAGTATGGACGATGGCCCTGCTGGGCCTGCGCCCGCCGCTCCTGCTTCAGAGCCAGGCGCAGCTCCTGCTGCCGCTTCCGCTCCTGCTGTGCCATTTCTTGCTGCTCCTGAGGAGCAAAGATGAGATGGGTGTGAGGGACTGTGATCTACCCCCTGCCTTGAACTACTTTCACCGCCACCCACGACCTGACTCACTCACCATTCGCTGAAGCAGCTGCTGCAGCTTCTCATGCTTCTCCCCTGAACGGTGCTTCTTCAACTGCTTTTTCACAAGCTCCACAGCGGGAAATGATGTGATGGTTAGCATGCTGAAAATGTGAGCTGCACTTCTGTGCCAGGCATTACTCTAAAACAGTGGTTCTCAACCTTCTGGCCCTTTAAATACAGTTCCTCATGTTGTGACCCAACCATAAAATTATTTTCGTTGCTACTTCATAACTGTAATGTTGCTGTTATGAATTGTAATGTAAATTACAATTTACATTACAATTACATTACATTACGTTAAAATTTACATCCTGATATGCAGGATGGTCTTGAGTGACCCCTGTGAAAGGGCCGTTCGACCGCCAAAGGGGTCACGACCCACAGGTTGAGAACCATTGCTCTAAGAGGTTCGCATGTTAACTCAGTAACACTATGAGATAGGAGTTATTAGTTCTTTTTATGATTAGAAAACTGAAGCAAAGCCAAGTTGAGTAACTTGCCAATGGTAAGCTAGTAAACTGATGAGCCAGGATTTGAATATAAGCACCTACTTAGGGAGAATGAAGTCTGCCCATCACTACGCTCCCAGTTCCCTCTGCCCGATTCTAACCCAGCCGTGGGCAAACTACGGCCCGCGGGCCGGATCCGGCCGTTTGAAATGAGTAAAACTAAAAAAAAAAAAAAATCGTACCCTTTTATGTAATGATGTTTACTTTGAATTTATATTAGTTCACACAAACACTCCATCCATGCTTTTGTTCCGGCCCTCCGGTCCAGTTTAAGAACCCATTGTGGCCCTCGAGTCAAAAAGTTTGCCCACCCCTGCTCTAACCTGTGCCCTAGTTTCCCAACCCCAGACACCAGTGACCCAGCCACCAGCCGCATGCAGCACACCTCTTTCTCTTTGGCTCGGATGTCGTTCAGGAATTGATACGTTTTGTCAAACACTTCAGGATTATATTCCCCTGACAAATCGTCAAAGCGGGGGTCCCGGGCTACCTTTGGAGAGAACGGAGAGAATATGAAAATACAGTTCTGTCTCCTTTCACAAGAAAGCACTTCCTGCCTCTTTCTCACCTTCTTACTGATGGAGACAACTTGACGCAAAAATGGCACCCGGACTTTGGCTGACATTTCCAGAGGCCTATGGAGAAATTACAGGACAGGTCCAGGGGACTCCAGTCTTGGCCAAAGGCCTCCCCCCTGCCACCTAAGACAGCAGACACCGACTCAAGGTCCCAGACATCCTCCAACTCCTGGGGCAGGCCTTGCTCCTCACCTGTGCTTATCTGCAACACAGGCATTTTGGACAGGGGGTCTAGAGCCTTGCTTCTTAGTGCTGCTTCCAGCTACCAATTGTTTGTATGCCTTAGTCCCCGCTTGGCTCTGCAATTCCAACAGCTCCTCAAAGGACATGTTAGATGTGTCTGCAGAAGGAGGTGAAGATAGGGGACACACACAATTGAGCTCAGCATTTCCCGCTGCTGGAAAGACATCATTCCATTCTCATTCTTAAGGTAACTGATCCTTTCCAATACCCCATCCAACCAATCCCTACAGGTCCTGGGCAGCATAGGCCGTCATGGTGCTTCATCTAAGTTCCCAACGGTTCCAGCTACCTTGGGGCCTCACCTTGCTAAGGAAGGTGTATATGTAAGGCCAGTGGTGGACCAAGTCACAGTCCCTTTCTTTTAAATTATTCCTTCACAGGTTTCCCCAGAAAGGCCTGTCTCCCTTGCCGTTACTGTGGCCAGTGTTCTGGTTCATCCTCTCAGCACCTCACCTGAATCAGTGCTCTAGTCTCCTAACTGGTCTCCCAACCTCCAGTCTTACTCCTCTCAAAGTTATGCTCCCCACTTCAGTTTGAGAGAGACATCTAAAATGTAACTCTGGCCCTGGCCGGTTTGGCTCAGTGGATGGAGCGTTGGCCTTCGGACTGAAGGGTCCCGGGTTCGGTTCCGGCCAAGGGCACGTGCCAGGGTTGCGGACTTGATCCCCAGTGGGGGGCGTGCGGGAAGCAGCTGATCAATGATTCTCTCTCATCATTGATGTTTCTATCTCTCTCCCTTTCCCTTCCTCTCTGAAATCAATAAAGAAATATATTTTTAAAAAATAAAAAATAAAATGTAACTGGTCTTATCACTCCAACCTCATTACCTACTCCCAGATAGACAGACTTCAGATCATGTCACTCCAGAACTCAAACTCCCCAATGCCTTCCATCTTTGCTCAGCGTCAAGGTGGCTGGAAGCCCTAGGGGACCTAGCCCCCAGGTTGCATCTAATCCAACTATTGAAAAAAAACTATTGAAAAAAAAGACCGTACCCCTTTATGTAATGATGTTTACTTTGACTTTATATTAGTTCACACAAACACTCCATCCATGCTTTTGTTCCGGCCCTCCGGTCCAGTTTAAGAACCCATTGTGGCCCTCGAGTCAAAAAGTTTGCCCACCCCTGATCTAATCTCATTTCCTACCAATCTCTTCCTTCCACTCCTCTCGTCAGCTGGCCTCCTGGCAGTCCCTGAGCAGGAAGGTGTTCTCTGCACTTGATGCTGCCTCTGCTTGGAGCGCTTTCTTCAGATACATTTATTACTTCTCCGGCACCTCCTTCAACCACGGCTCAAATGTCACCTACTCAGTGAGGCCTCCTGTGGTTACTTATAATTGTAACCCCTCCCCTGCTTTCTCTCCATAACCTTGTCACCTTCTTGGGAAACTGAGATATAATTCATATGCCATAACATTCACCCTTTTACAATATACAATTCTGCTTTGCTGCCTTTTAATAGATTAATTCACATGTCCTTTTTTTAACAGCCCTTTCTAAATGGTAAGTTCCACGAGGACAGTTTTGGGCTGCTTTATTCACTATTGCATCTCCAGCATCTAGAACTGTGCATGCATACAGATACTCAATAAATGCCTATATATATACCTGCCCTTGACTGGAATCGAACCGGGACCCTTCAGTCCGCAGGCCGACGCTGTCCCCTGAGCCAAACCGGCCGGGGCTGCCCAATCTCCTTCATCCTGACCTGCTGAGTCCTTCCCCAGCCCCCCAGCCCTGGCCTCGGCGCGCTCCCACAGGCGTCTCAGCCCCGGGGAAATCTCCATCCTCCCTTTAAGAAACCGCTCAGATGTCCCAGCCCAGGAAGCACCCCCTCCCCACTTCCCACGGCGCTGCGGGCGCTCCGCGCGGGCCTTTGGAGAACTTCGCAGGCTCTCGGGACCTGGCTGCGGCTCGGACACCGCACCGGGCGGGGAGCCCGGACCTGCGCTCCTCCCGCCCCGGGGCCTCCCCCTCCCGCAGGCCCCCGGCCCCCGCCGTCCTCCCGCCCCGCGGCCCACCGGCCTCCCCCTTCCGCGGGTCCCGGCCCCCGCCGTCCTCCCGCCCCGCGACCTCCCCCTCCCGCAGGCCCCCGGCCCCCGCCGTCCTCCCGCCCCGCGGCCCACCGGCCTCCCCCTTCCGCGGGTCCCGGCCCCCGCCGTCCTCCCGCCCCGCGGCCTCCCCCTCCCGCAGGCCCCCGGCCCCCGCCGTCCTCCCGCCCCGGGGCCTCCCCCTCCCGCAGGCCCCCGGCCCCCGGCGTCCTCCCGCCCCGCGGCCTCACCCTTCCGCAGGCCCCCGCCGTCATCTCCGCTATCCCCGGCCCCGAGGGGAGAGCCGGCGGCGGGCCCGGCGCGGGACCTCGCTCTCGGCATCAGCTCGCACGGCGCGGACCAACGGCGTGGCTTCCGCCCCGGCGGGCCTGCCCCGCCTCTTCCGGCAGCTCAGGAGGCGGGTCCGCATCGGCGGAGACACCACCCCACACGCCCAGTGCCCGCTGCCGGCCGGGCAGGGGCGCCCACTTGACAACGCGGCCACTTTGTCACCTGGACTCCGCGCCGACGAGAAGGTGGGCCAGGCCACGTGGCACTTGACCTGCGAGCGCCCCCTGCCCCGGGCAAGCGCCTGCCACCCCATTCATTCCACACACACACAGATGGTTCGTTTAGAGGTCTTTAATCCATTTTTATAAAATCTGAGCTGGCTGTGAGCAACAGGGTGACAGCAACAGCTCAAGGAAGGGGTAGGATTATCTGCTGGTCCTCGCCTTCCCCGGGTCAGGGCGAAGGAGGTTTCATGGCAACAGCTGCAACTTCTCTCGGCTCCCAATCAACGCTCATGGCTCAAGCGGGGGCAGGGGTGAAAATAGAGCGGGAGGGGAGCTTCTGAGGACCAGACACTGCTTGCTTCTCCCTCTCCATTCTCCCCATTCCCTTCACTTCTCAGAGCCCCGCTGGCCTGGGACAGAGCAAAGTCCAGGAGCAGTTGGAAGAAGGTGGATGGGACAGAGCACCAAGGGAAGGGGCCCTCGGCCCAAGGAGGGGGGGAACCTAGCCCTCCCCCCACAGCTCCCCACTGAGTTCACAGCACAAAAAACACCTCTAGTCCAACAACTCCATGTGGAGGTATACCAGGGTCCAAAGGGGCAGGCGGGTGAGAGACAGGCAGGGGCAGTGAAGACAACAGCAGGCTCAGGAGGGATGGCGGCAAAAACTTCCTTCTACCCATGGGAGGAGACGATGGGGCGACTGATATTGCTGTTGGTGGTCATGGCATTCAGCTCCCACCTGGAAGGCCAACAGTGACAGGTATAAAGGACAGGAGGAACCTCCACCCCAAGCCCAGAATTGCTAACAAAACTATGAACACACCAGTGCCTTCAACTTCCTGAAACCTTAACTACCCACAGCCACCTCTTCCTTACAGCCCTCCTAGATTAACAATCAGGCCCCGCCCACCACCAAATCCAATACCACCCACAGCTCCACCTGCAAGCTCAGGTGGACTTCCTGTTTATGTTTATATATTCTTTTGCCCAACACCTGGAGAAAAGCATGGGTGTATACATCGCAGTAAATTTCCCAACCTATCTTTCCTCTGCTCAGATCCAACCAGGCAGCTCCTCCTACCCCACATCAGGAATGCTCATTTTTGCTCTCAACTACTATCCCTTTCAGAAAGAAGCCTGATTCGTCTCTCCTACCCTCCCACCCCAGGACTTCCCTACTCATCCCATCATATTAAAATTAAATCCCTCTTTTTGACCATTCTGTCATTCTACAAAGATTTACCAATAACCTCCTTAATTCCACTACTCACTATAGTCTACTTGACTTAGGTATGAAAAGGACAATGGCGGGGCTTGCCACCTAGTTCAGTATCTGGTTAAAACTGTAGTCTTACTTTCCCACTCTCACTGACTTGGGCAGAGCCGCAGGGACCCTCAGGGGCCACCACAGAGGAGATATGTCAGTCAGAGCCTCCCCATGAATTCAACTCAGGATCTGAATCCGGAATTCCCCTGGACTAGCCAATCTGCGAAATAAAGGTTGAACTTTCCTCCCTCAGAGTGCTGGCTGATCGTTCTCCCGTGCATTCTGCCACAACAGGTACCTGCATATATGTCACTCCTAGGCCAACCTATGACCCACCAGGTCAGCCTTGCACACACCATGTCACTGAATACTGATCACATAGACCCTCAGCAAGTAAGAGTTAAACTGAACTGATACAAGGAAAAGTACGTGTCGAAGAATGACCCAAAAGGGCATAATTATACACAAAGTACTTTTGGTACTTGACTTAGACCTAAGAGTGAAACTAAAAGGGAGGGGGCTAGGAAGAACCTCCCTTAATTCCAGAACTAAGGTGATTCAGAGGCTCCTAAACTTGTCTTTACTTTGCAGCTAGGTTCTAAGATTTCATCAAACTTTTTCAGCATGTTAACAAAACAACCGTATAGGCTCAGATCTCAGGAAGTGATGCTCCTGAGCTTTGTATGAAAAACAATTGTTTTTTTCATGTAATTTACCCAGTGGACAGTCTGTATCTCCTTCCATCTCATTCTCCACAAGAATTCTATCTCCTCCATATGAGGTCATGCTTGTGCTGCCACTTACCCTCAACCAATCCCTCCTTCCCAACCACTCACTGCACCTGATGTCATGGGGCAAACAGGACTGGTCCAGGTTATACTGAATGACAGCCAGTTTGCACAGGGTCTTCAGACTAGGGCCTTTAGAGGAAGAATGGTAGACAGGGAGAGAGTCACAGCCAAGGAAAGATTCCGTCCTGGATGTCACCACCCAGAGACAGGGACCCCGATGGCAGGAGCACTTTGGGAATAAGTGTACTTACTAAAGTCCAAAATGTGTAAGTCAGAATGATCTATGAGGTCAAACTCATCTCCCAGGCCTTCCTCAGGAGATGGACTGTAGAGATCAAGAGAGAGAGAAAGGAAGGAGGAAAGAATGCTCACGAGACCCTTCTTGCTCAAATGCCTCCCAGTTTAGTCACAGACTTAGGCCTTCCCCGAGCCCTCCCCTCTCCTACTAACCTGGTACCCCCAAAGAGGACAATTTTGTCACCAACAATACAGCAGCACTGGCGCCGGCGTGGACATGGCCCCTTTCCCTTTGGTTCAATCTTTTTCCAGGTAAAGGACACTAAAGAGAAGTTTACATGGAGATTCAATGCCTGCCCTGGCCAGATATCTTCTCCAACCTCAACCTCTCGCCTACTCAGGATTCTTTCTTTCTTTCTTTCCCCCCTCAAGTGCTCCTTGTTTCTCCCTTAGAGGCAGTGTTCTTTACCAGGGTTAAATTTCCACAGGTCATGGAAGTGCCGGTTCAGCCTTGCATTATAGCCACCAAAAATGTACAGTTCCCCATTGTAGCCAACTGGAAGGAGAGAGGAGTGTCAAGAGTGTGAAGACAATGGGTGGGAAGGGGGACTCTGAGGGGCATAACAGACACTCACAGGCCGAGTGGCTCCGGCGCCCCTCGGGCAGCACCGGAGTGGTCGGACAGTCCAGCCAGGTCTCAGTCCTGGTGTCAAAGACTCGGATGCGGTTGCAGTAAATCTCATTGTTGGAATGGAACGGCCCAAATCGGTCAGCGCGACCCCCAAAGACATACATGCGACTGCCCAGCATTGTGGCTGAGTGGAAGTCCCTCCAGCGCGCAGGATTGCCCTGGGCAGGAGCAGAGAGAGGAGTGAGCAAGAAGGCTGGGAAAGGATCTGCTCTCACTATTGAACTTCCTATGGTTTCTTCAATTGAGGGTGGGGGTCTGGGAGAAAGAAGAAAGGGCAGACCTTTGTACAGATAAGGGTCCATGTCATGGTGCTGGTATCCAGCTTGTGAATGTCATTGGAAAAGCAGTCCGCCTGAATGGGAAGAGAAAGGAAGTGAAGGAAGGAATATAAGATTGGGTCAGTAGTCTCTGACCTCCATCCCTCCCCTCAAAAACCTGCAAAACAGCCCCAGCTGATTTGGCTCAGTGGATAGAGCTCCTGGCTTTGGACTAAAGGGTTCCAGGTTCAATTCTGGTCAAGGGCACATACCTCAGTTGCAGGCTTGACCCCCAGCCCTGGTTGGGGCACATGCTGGAGGCAACCAATCGATGTGTCTCTCACATCAATGTTTCTCTTGGTCTCTCCCCCTCCCTTCTACTCTCTCTAAAAATCAATGGAAAAATATCCTCAGGTGAGGATTAACAACAACAAAAAGCCCTGCAAAGCAAGCCAAAGCCTCCCATTCCAGCATTCCCACCCTAAACCTCTACTTGCTTTCCAGACCTACCAGCTGCTCGTAGCCCCCGAAAATGTACATCGTCTTGCCCAAGACACAAGCCGAATGTCCGTCCCGAGCCCCAGGAATTGTTCCTAACACTCGGGGCGTGGACCACTTGTGAGTATCTGAAGGAGATGAGAGGATGGGCCAGTTAAGCAACTCTGACCCTCCTGAGTTGCCCTATTCCCAGCCCAGCCAACATCTCCCCAGCCCGTGAGGTACCATTTGGAAGAACAGAGCCCCATACTCACTGACGTCAAAGGCGTAGAGCACATTGCAGGCCCCTTCCGTGTCATTCCGCCCGCCCCAAAGGAAGACCGTGTCATCGATGAGGACGGTTGAGTGTCCATACCGCATGTATGGTACCACAGGAGGCTGCCCTCGGATGGTGGGTCTCACCGGGGGCAGCTTTGTCCAGCGCAAGGACACTGTGGGCATAGCTCAGCTCAGCCCTGGAACCCTCCTTCCAGGCTGTCCACCTTTTCCCAAACCAGGTCTTCATTCCTTCACCCCCTTGGGCCACAGCAGCCACCACCAAAACTCATTCAACCACCTGTTTCCCTCCCTAATGTGGGCACCCAGGGATGTCCCCAGGATTAGCTTACCTGCATTGAAAATGTGCACATCAATCTGACGCAGTGTCTCGTAGTCTTCACCAGAGCAGTAACCCCCGAAGGAGAATACCCGGTGCCCAACAGCCACTGCAGCATGGTTCACCCTGCGGGGCCCGCCCTCCAGGTGCACTGTCCACCGTAACATCCCCTGGGCCACTGGTTACAGCAACATGCCCCCCCGGCACGGCCTGCTGCCTCTGCTACCTGCACACAAATGAGGGCCACAAAGGCCTTTGCCTGGCTCACCAGGACTCTGCCCAGGACCAGCCCTGGCCTCCAAGTGTCACCCAGGTGTTCGACCCACACCACCCCTCCACAGCTCAGGTGGCTGGCCCTGCCCCAGAGGAGCTGCTGAGGTCAAGGAGCTAGCCCTGGCCCTGTGTTCTCCACAAGCAAAGGGTGGGGCCACTCCAACCTGACCGCCAGCTCAGAACCTGCTGATCCAGGGCTCAGCATGCTCACCCCCTACTCACGGAGGCTCCACCCGCTCCGTGGCCTGGCACAGGCTCCAAGCCCCCTTCCCAGGCTGATGGGTTCGCTGGTACCTCCGGCTCTGCTCTGCTTACTGCCGCCTGTCTAAGAATCTCTGTGCTCTTTAAGATGGGGAGAGGCATCTCAAAATACTCAGAGCTATTAATAGCCCAGCCAGCCCCAGACAGTGCATTGAAAGCTGGCATGGGTGCTTCCAAGCAGAAAGGCTTTTAGGCTTTTCCAGTGGATGAGCTCCCCTATCCAAGATGGGGCGGGGTCCAGGACAGGGACCTCCAGAGTACCATGGATGGTTCGCCCCTGGTCGGAAGCTCTGGTCAAACTGAGCTGTTGTCAATGGGGTGACCCAGGGCCCCTCACAGGCCTGAGGCGTTCCTTTAACAGCTGGGCCTGGTCTGCTGCCAAAGCTAGGAACTTAATCAGAAAGGTATGTGTTCGCTGTAGATTGAGGGAGTGGGGGCGGGGAGGAAGGGGTTCCTCCTCCTGCCACCTCCCCAGCCCTGCTACCCGGGCAGAGACAAGCTGTTCCCAGCAGCTGTCCTCCCCGGAGGGTCCCGGGAAGGGGGGCGACGGTAGGCGTGTGCACGGGAAAGGAGAAGGGAAGCCAAATGCCCTTGGGCAGCACATGAAGAAGACCCAGGGAGAGGACTGATCTCTAAGACAACCTGCCAAGCTAGCGATAATGCGTGCATCTGCAGCCCGCGTCGGGCACCTCCTGCGGCCGGCACCTGCTGGGTCTGGGCGGATGGACCATCCTCTCCCTGTTCAAGGCTGAGCTTCGGGCACAGAGAGGGCTCAAGGGAGGCCCCTCGAGAAGAAAAAGGCATGGCTTCCAGCGGGCTGGCACGTCCCCTACCGCCCCGCCTCGGCCCCCGCCCCGGCTTTAAGCAGCCACCAGGCCCACCCTGACGGAGCCCCAGCAGGAACTGGTCTCACTCCATGGCTCCCGTCCTCAGTCCCAAACACCTGGGACCGGGGCTCGTGGGGCCAGACGGGGGCTGAAGGGCTGAAGAAGGGGAGCCCTCAGTCTTCGCTCTGAGCTCCTGCGCCCTTCAAGTCCATCAAGGCGCGGGGCTCACAGGAGCAGCGCGGAGCAATGCCACCCCAAGGCGGAGAGAGAATCCTAGCTTCTCTCCCGAAAGGACAGCTCGAGCTCATGGAAAACGGGCCCCCGAGGTCTCAGGGCTGCGTCCTCCCGGAGTTCCCCCCACACTCCGTCCTGGCCGCGTTCTCGACGCCTTCCATTCCCTTCACGTGCCTGCCCCCCTCTCTGCTCTCTTGCAATTATCACCCCCCCTTTTTTTTTTAATCTGAGAGCTTTGCAGTTTTCTCCTTTTTCCTTTTCCCACCACTCCAAGCGCCACCCAAAAGTTCTCCATTTCCCCCCTTCCACTGAGGGAAAAACGCTAGGAATCGTTGTCCCCTTTCAGCCAGAGGTCTTCCTCCCTGCATATGGTGGCGCTCTCTCTGGATCCTTCCAGTCATCCCCGCCTCCCCTCCCCCACAGCGCCGGACCCCCCGCCCTCCATTATCCTCAGCTCCCCCGTTCTCTTCACAACCCGGCCTCCCTCCCAGTCCCTCAGTGCCTCCTCCAGCCACCAAGTCTCCCACCTGTTCCACCCCATTCTCCCGCGACCCTTCCCCATGAACACGCTCCTTTCCCATCATCCCCTTAGTTCCCTCCCCACCCCCACCCCGCCCCCACCTCAGCCCCCTCGGGCCTCCCCCTCACGGCTCCGGCTCCAGACAAGGACGCCCCCAGCACCTCCACCTTCCTTGTAACATCAACCCATCCCGGGCTACCTTGTCAGGCCGGGCCGGGGCGGGGCCGCGGGCAGCCTGGAACCCGTTGAGCGCCAACCGACGACTGGGTCCCCAACGAGATAAACACAGCCAGGCTCGCTTCTTCCGGCGGGCAGCTGTGTGCGCACGTGCAGTCGGGGCCGAGTTCCGGAAGCCTACCGGGACTTGTAGTCCGTCGGTTTCCGCAGGGACGCGAGGTGCGGAGCCGCGCACAGGCGCTCGAGGAGCTTGTACGCATGTGCGTCTGCGTCAGAAAACCGTGGGGGTCTCAGGGTAATGTAGTTCTTTGTTTGGGCCCGGATGATGGAGGCGGGGCAAGGGGCGGAGTCGTTGTCCCCTTTCGCGTCCATCATGAGCCCTGGGCGGGGCTGGAGGACTAAGCGCCCAGCACGTCCTGCCCCGGCGGAAGTGGAGGTGCGGGTTCGGCCGCGGGCTCTGAGCGGGTGAGGCGCGCGGAGACGCCGGCGCCGACCATCGGTGGGGTGGGGGCGGGGAGGGGGTGGGAACGCCGCAGCTGGGACCATTTGAGGGGAGCCCCTGGGGCCTGAAGGGCGTTTGTCAGGTGGTACAGAGGGGAACCCCGTTGAGAGGGGAGAAGGGAACGGGTCCGCCTTGTCTTTGGGAGCTTGTTTGCCCAGCCGAAGTTCCCAAGTCAGGAGGGGGCGGGAAGGCGGGGTTCTGGAAGGGGTGTGTTTTGAGAGATGGCAGCCTTAGCCTCTGGTTCTGCTGTTAAATATTTAAGAAATGGCCGAGCAAGGCGGGTGGGCCTCGGCTCGAGATAAGAGCCCGACTTAAAAGGCGAAGGGCCCAGGAGATGCCAAGGTGGGTTGGGGCGCAGAAGGTTGGGCGTTTAGATGTTTTGTGGACACAGAAGGAGACCACAAGGAGCTGGATGGGAGGCGGAATGCACAGCTCATTTAATCAGGTCCCTCTCGTGCCCCCCTGTTCTTGCAGCCCGTGCCCGGATGGCAGCAGTAGTTCTAGGGGCAGACAACATGGGCCCGGAGCGTATCTTCCCCAATCAGACTGAGGAACTAGGGCCGCACCAGGGCCCCACGGAAGGCACTGGGGATTGGAGCAGTGAGGAGCCTGAGGAAGAGCAGGAGGAACCCGGGGCAGGCCCAGCTGGCTACTCCTACCAGCCCCTGAACCAAGACCCTGAGCCCGAGGAGGTGGAGCTGGCGCCGGTGGGGGACGGAGAGGACGTAGTGGCGGACATCCAGGATCGGATCCAGGTATGCTGGAGGAGGCCTTGTTCCCGAGGAGGTGACGGTGGGATCCCTGAAGGGCTGGCCCTGAACTGTCTTCTCTGGCTGTTCAGGCCCTGGGGCTTCATTTGCCAGACCCACCATTAGAGAGCGAGGATGAAGATGAGGAGGGAGCTACAGCCTTGAGCAGCCACAGCTCTATTCCCATGGACCCAGGTAAAAGAGATTATTCTTTTCATTATGGGGGAAGGAACTGGCCAGAGCCAATAGAGAGGTCACAGAGCAATACCCTGTTCCTAAAATGACAGTTTGTAATCTAATATTTTGCAGATGTCAGAATCCAGGTGAGCCCTAGCTGGTTTGGCTCAGTGGATAGAGCATCAGCCTGCGGACTGAAGGGTCCCGGGTTCAATTCTGATCAAGGGCATATGCTTGGGTTGTGGGCTCGATCCCCAGTAGGGGGCATGCAGGAGGCAGCCGATCAGTGATTCTCTCATCATTGATGTTTCTATCTCTCCCTTCCTCTCTGAAATCAATAATTTTTTTTTTTTTTTTTTTTAAAGAATCCAGGTGAAATGCTATTCTGCTAGACTTGGGGAATGGGCAGGCTTGCCTAGAAATAACAGACAGATTTGGTGACTTTACTAACCCAATGGTTCTGGGTTAATTCAAGGAATGGGCAGGGAAGCAGCTCCCATCTTTCCTATCCTCTAATTAGTCTCTGCCTGTGATTTCAGAACATGTAGAGCTGGTGAAAAGGACAATGGCTGGAGTAAGCTTGCCTGCACCAGGGGTTCCTGCCTGGGCTCGGGAGATATCAGATGCCCAGTGGGATGACGTGGTACAGAAGGCTCTCCAAGCCCGGCAGGCATCCCCTGCCTGGAAGTGACCACCTTGAGAGCTGCCTTAGCTCCCTGCATTCCACTGGAACCAGGACAGGACTGAACACATCCCTGGTTGTAACGCCCATCTCCCTTCCACATCAAGGCAAATCAAACTTCTCAGAGACCCACTTTATTCAGTCTGTACATATGGGGACATCGGCCCAAGCCCAACCCACCATAGCATGTATCACTCTGGAGAATAAAGCACCCTATGTACACAGCCCAAAGCTGCACTGCCTGTGCCCCTGGGACCCAGGTCTGGCTCTCCTAAGCCTCTTGCCTCTCCATGGTGCCTGAAAGGGACAAGCAAGGGCCTGCCCAGCATTAGCACAAACAAGGAAAATAAATAGATGTTGGAGGGAGCCATGCTTAGACACTGCTCCCTGTCTCCTTCCTCTTGGCTTTGGGAACCAACAGCACAGGAAAGCAGTCAGCCCCAGGTGGTCCCTTCCATGTTTGTGATCCCAGGGCTGCTGCTCACCAAGGAGGGGGCACAGGTAGGGTGTTTGTTCATCCCTTTCTCTTGATCCATCTGGGCCCTTTATTCATTACCTGATGTCCATAGCTTATGTGGTTCTCTTTTTGACCTCCCACATGGTCTTGGTCGGGCAAGGGGTAAGAGGAAATAATACGGCCCCCTCAGCCTGCACGCTGCTGGGGCTGGGGGCCTCTTTGTGCTGCTGGGGGTTGGCGCCCCTCCAGCTATTGACTTCAGGGGCCAGTGGGGCTTGGCATAACTTTGGTGAGAATAATCTGCTGCTGCTCCCGGTGTGCCTCTGCCGGGAGGGAGAGGAGGAGACCCCTGGCGTTCAGATGAAGATGAAGGGAAGAGGAGAGGAGCCCATGTGTTCCTGTGTGTATTTCTCAGAGCAGCCTCAGGTAGCTGTGGGGTCAGGAGCAGGGGTACAGGCGTCCCCAGTTGTCTGAGCACTAAGCATCTCAGTGCTCAGCCTGTCTGTACTGGCCACCAGGAGGCACCAACACATTTTGGGGAGAAGAGGGACCACTCTGTGGGCATCCCTGCTTCAAGTGCTGCATCACCCTCCCTAGAATCGCTAAAGAGGCACTGCCTTGCCCCATGTCAGCCAGTGGGGAGCAAAGGGTGGAGGGCTAGGGCAGCGTCCCAGGGCTGAGTGGGCTGTGGCCCCGTGGAGGAAACTCGGGGCGTCAGAGAGCCTCCTGGCTGGCAGTTAAGAACTCTTCCGCCCGCTTGTGAGCCTCTAGCGCCTTCATGGTGTACACGTCCTGGGGCAGCTCTGACTTCCTCCGAAGCAGCACTTTTTCTTTCTTGATATCCTTTAGCATCTGTGAGTGGACGGGGAGAAGGAGAGGAATGGTGACCAACTCCCAGTGTATCTGTGGCTTCCCCTCATTGCTGGGCTCTGCTGCTCCTGTCTCCTCCCCCGCAGAGCTGTCTATTGCTGCTCCGCCTCCCCCTGTGCCCTGCCACCTGCACGGCCTCCGTCTCCATAGTCCTCTTCAGAAGCTGGATGTCCTCTGCCGTGGGGGTCTCCGTCTCCATCGAGTACACAGGGGGCAGCGGTGGTGGAGCTCGGAACATGGGATACTGAGAGGAAAGGAGGCACGGACAAGTGGGGGAGCCCCTTCAGACTCTGTGAACCTGTTTGCCACTATTCCTCCTCAAACAGACCCTCCCCCAGCCTAACAGGGGCCCCTCAGTTCAAGACAGTGGCAGGAAAACCTCACCTGGGGGTTAAGTCGGGCCAGCTCCTCGATCTTTTGCCACATCTCTTCTCTTTCCTTCATTCGGAACCGGCCCCTGAGGGAGCAGACAGGATGGGGGTTGAGTTTGAGAGAGAAGCAAAGGGGCTGGCGGTGGACAAGGTGGACAGTCGGAGGCTCTGAGAGGGGACACTCACTTCTGCTTCTCCGCCTTGTACTGTTGTGTGCAGTCATCAAACAGCTTCTGATTCATCTCCATAAACAGCTTCAGGGCATTGTAGATCAGTCCATGGATTGTCCTGCCACCGCAAGAAAGACGAGGTGTAAGAGGCCACAGCCTGCCCTAGTGCCAGGCCCTACCTGCTCTCTCCTAGGTGTCTGCTAAGAGCAGGGGTCCTCAAACTACGGCCCGCGGGCCACGTGCAAATACAAATGTCGTATTTGTTCCCGTTTTGTTTTTTTACTTCAAAATAAGATATGTGCAGTGTGCATAGGAATTTGTTCATAGTTTTTTTTAAACTATAGTCCGGCCCTCCAACCATCTGAGGGACAGTGAGCTGGCCAATGTTTAAAAGGTTTGAGGACCCCGGCTAAGAGCCTTCTCATTTACTACTCCCATTTCACAATCTGCTACAGTGTAAGCTCATCTCTCCGGTCAAATCATGTGACCTGAGATCGGCATTGCAGGGTTTTCACAAATACCGGTCTGCCTGTCCATCCTTCCTGCCCCCCATGCTCCCAGACCCTCCTCCTCCCCACTTGCCTGGCCCACACGGATGGCCTCCCAGCAGCATGATGTGCACCTGCCCCACAGCATGCTTGCTCTTAGCGGGAAAGCCCTTACAGCACTGGGATTCAACACATCCTAAGGCCACATCAGCTTCTCACAGCGTGGAATTAAGTGACCAAAAGCG